CAACTGGCTTTATATGACATAAACCAGTCATAACAGTTTACTTTTCTTAGACTTCTAGTTGTGTGAAACCAGGGCTGGGTGAGTTCAGAGCCATGGCTGCAGCCTTTCAGAACATAAAAAAGCTCCTGGGGGAGTCTGTGGTCACAGCTGAATTTTGGAGAGAAACCGAACACCAGGAGAGAAGACAACTGATCAAAATTCCCAAGAGGTCTTCACTTGACCTCTTTGCTCATTAGCCCTTAGCAACCAGTGGTCACCAGTGAAATTATTCACCAGTAGTCACCAGGGAAATTATTCACCAGTGGTCAATTTGAAGTCTGCACCATTGAATAATATTGTGACTCATGAATTAAAGGAGATGTTAGAGATATGTAAAAACAGAATCCAAAACTGGGAGGTAGGGATAGCTGCCACTCAGAAGGTAAGAGCTGATCTTGAAGAGTATCTTGAAGCAGCTCAAGAGTTAGATTAAACATATCATGAATGAGTACCAAGTGTTTGACTACAAAAGGTGAGGAAAACCCCATATTTAAGAGAGGACTATCACCAAGGAAAAAAAAGTGGCAACCAAACACTCCTCAAAATGAATAAAGGTGGCATTTTTTTAAAGTGACATTATATTTTTAAGTATAAGAGAAGCCGGCACATAAGAATTTCCCTGTAATCCCATCCTGAGCTCGGCCTTCACAAAGCACCAATGTGAATAAGGCACCACATTTTATTTGGGCAACTAAACTGAGTGTGAAGCTGAGAAAAAGAACCACAGTGAAAATTACTAAGCCCTTAGAAAATAAGAACTATGAAGAATGGTGTAAGTAGGTGGGATTATTTATCACTGAAATAAAAACACCAGGGGAATGACTTCACTGTGGTTTTCAAATACAGGGAAGGTGACCAGCTGTTCTTTTTCCACTGCACGCTGAACAAAAGGCTGGTTTGAATTTCTATAAGGAAGACATACAAAGAACTATCTGATCAGCAGGATAGGTTACAGAATCTCCTTTGCTGAAAATCCAGAATCCCATCCACAGCCATATGTCTGAAATAATTCAGGCACGGCCCTGTCTGTCATCGGGGGAGCATGCTAGATAATCCAAACTTTCTCCCACCCCCAAAACTCTGAAATCAAAATCAAAGCTATTGGCTTACAGTCAGACTCCTTTTGTGTATTTTCACCCTGAGCCTGGAAAGGAGGTAATACAGCAAACATGACCCAATACCTCAATGATGACTCCTAACTGGTATCTCAATATCAGGAAAAACTTTTTTCCATATAGGATTTCACACCTCCAAAACAGAGTCAATTCATAGATCACTTAAAGCAGAAGACAATGCAAGTACCTGGCTCTAGTGGACACTTGTTTCTTGCCCTACTCCCCACAATGCCTGCTTTTCCTTAAGTCTTAGCCTAAGCTCAGAATTGCACACCATCTAAAAAACTGATTAAGCCAAGAGCTAAGATTATAAATACAGTCCTTCAGCTTGTAGAGTTTAAGAGAAATTGTTCCAAATGGCCTATTTTTAAATGGGAAGAACATAAACCTGATTTTTTTTTTAATTAAGAACTGGCTTGCCTTTCTTTTAAGACACCATGAAATGTAAAGAAGCAATCAAAATATTTCAATACATTCACAATCATATCAAATTTCTTTGGGGAAGCAATGAGGGAAAGAAGCAATCCAGCTACTGACTGCATTTGCAAGAGCATTTTTTGGTGGTGCCAGACATCTGCAATTACCACGCAAGCCTTTCATTTCAACCCTTATAAAGCAGAGGTGGATGACACACTGGCAGCTGGTGGGCCAAATCAGGCCCCGCAGTGTGTTCTGCTGGGTCCAAATGCCAATACTAAACAAATCAGAATTTTTCATATAAAAATGCAGATTCTCAGCTTCTCTTGAAAGATGGGAAGATGAGGCAACAATGGGTGGCCACAACTGGCTACAACAAATGAGTAGCTGCCCCCTGTAGGTAAGAGAGGAGCATTTCAGTTTGCCAGGGTTCCCAACATGCCTTATGGTCTCCCCATCACTGACAGGACATGTCACTGTCATTTAAAAAAAAATAAAACTACCCTTATTTATCATTACACCTGGCCTACAATACTGGCGCCTCCTGAAGGCATACCATCTGATAAATGAGAGTAGCAGTTTTCACTAACAATATAAAAGTCTAATAACCTTCACATTGGTGGTGTCCACTTCTCTCCAATAAAGACATGAAGAGTAATTCTTATCTCTAAGAGAGCCAAATTAGTATTCAAGCAGTTGGGGACTGCAGGTTTTTCTCTTTGGAGAGGAGGGTGTGTTATTTCTGCCCCAAGAAAATAATTTTTTTTTCTCCATCCCCCTCCTTTTTTTAAAGAAATAATGTTCAACCCTGGGGGGATGGGGTCTGAAAAAAATCAAATAATCCCACATTTTTAGGGGCCTGGCTTTTCTTTTTACTTGCGCTTAAGTCAGGGAACCTGAGACTAAGGGCTGTGGTTTTTTTTTTAAAGACATTTGTGGCTATGAAATAGTAAGACTAAACTCTGACAAACATTCATGAACTTAAATTACAACACATTAATTCCAATAATATCATTGTTGCTATAGACATTTTTGAACTTTTGATCTGGGACTATCTTTAGTTATTGTTAATGTGTCAACAAAAACTCTGTCTTATGACTTTATAGGCCCATCTCATTTTTGTCTCAAAATACTGGGTTGGCCAAAATGTCTGTTTTTTTCTATAAAATAACGGACACACTTTTCATTTTCACCAATAACCTTACTGATTAGGATTTTGAGTATGTCAGCTATCTCCTGCTATTGGCTTCTAGTGGGTAGAGGCCAGGGGTGCTGCTAAATATCTTCCAATGCATAAGACAGGCCCACAGCAAAGAATTAATTGACCAAAATGTCAATAGTACCAAGAAACACTGCAAACCACTTTTGACATGTTCGATCAGTCACAACACCTTCTCCATAATGCTGTACAAATCTTTTTTCGCATTTCAGTTTGTAATTTTACCTTTCTTGAAATAATAAACCATAATACCCTGAAAAGGTTGCATATTTTCTTCCATCTTTAATATTAAAATGCCTGCACAAAAATTCACCAATTTTGATTTTTTTTTTAATGCATGCTGATATGACAGCTGTCATAATACAATCTAACAAAATTGTTTTGGAGGAAGTTAAAGACAACTAAGCACTACTAGAGCCATCGTATGGAAAAAACATTAACGGACTTTTTGGCCAACCCAATACTGTTACCTGGCTGGGGCACCCACCGGGGCCTCGACATGAATGACATTTGATTCCTTCTAGAGATCAGTGTGGTTCAAAGGCCTAGGACTTGGCTCTCTGGAGTATCTTCTGCCCGCTGTGTGGCTGGGCTGGGACCATCCAGGTGGTCACTGTTGCTTGTCGCTGACCTCTGAAAGAACAACACAGCTCGACCTGGGCTTTTACCTCCCTGATCACTGTTCTGGAAAAACTGACTGTGTCCAATGCTAAGTCCTCACTGTAGGACATTGATGAGTTAAGATTAACAACCAGCTCCCTACCTTCAATTACTTGCAGGCAGAATTCTTGGTTACCTGGAACCTTGGATTTATCCTTGTTCTCCTTGGACTTGTTCTCCTGTCCAGAGGACACCATCTAACTTAGCTATACAAGCCTTTGACTCTCGAAATCAAGGACTCATTGAGATCATCCCTATATTCTACTTCTTGTTTCCCCAATGTTTAAAAGCCTGTGACTTACAGAACCTTGATCTTAACTCCAGTTCATCATTTCCACTGTTTGGAACAATGTATAAGTGAAAAAAAATGGAGCTCTGCTTAAAAAGATGCTTTGCCTTAATCTATAAGGCAATTATTCCCATTCCCAGCATGAGATGGGGAGGGTAAAAAAAAGTGAAACTAACAAGGCAAAAACAGGAAGTTGGACTTCTCAACTTATTCTCAGTTAGGCACTCAACTGTAGTTTCATTACTCGGTACATCAGTTTGATTTTCTTGACCATCACAAATATTAGCATTTAAAAATAAGTACCAAAACCCTAAATCCAAAATAAAACACTGGCTGATTTTTCGACTAGCACCTTTTTCCCTTCCATTTTCATAATAAGTGAACTCATTTAACAATCTCTTCGCCATGTTCATGAAGCCCAGCTGATGCTCCCCGACCCTAGTCCTCCATGCTGTCACTGGGGCTACTTTCTCAGAGATGCCTCATTTCACATGTGAAGTTGATCTATCCTTAAAGTGACTCTTAATGGTTCCTTTGGGGCACGCACCATTTAGCCTCAATAAGAAATCCCTCTCATAATGTTCCAAAGTGAACTTTCATATGTTGGCCAAGTCTGAACTGACCACCCTCCTTCACAGAGTGCACGCTGAGGATGGAGCAGCAGGACAGTCACATGTGGGCAGGAGCTCTGTGCTCGACCTGTACTCCACGGTGATGGCATGGAATGCCTCTTCTCCAACAAGATGTCTGGTTTTCTGGGGGAGGCAGTTCTGCTGCTCACTTGTCTCTCCCTCAGAGCAGCTGCAGGAAACTTGATGCCAGAGAACAGACGATCACGTTCTTCTCCCAAGAAACTGCCAGCTGCCTTTACAGAGCAGGGTGTATGGCATTTGCATCAAAAATACACACAAACCTCTTCTTCCCAGGAGGGTTGTAAACCTTCCTTTCCCCACTTGCCAAGCATGTGCTTAGAAAGAGAAGTCCTGCCCCATCCTACCTCCCACCCCTCCTCGGGATGTTTCTCGGCGTCCCCTCTAATGTTGGTCCTATTTGCTGGAGTCAAAATCATGGTCCCCGGTGTGAGTGCTGAGAACACAGGGTGCCAAATCCAACAACGCCTATGAAAAAGGTGGAAAAGGATGCTCACATCTCCAGAAGGACACGGAGAGGGGAAGGGAACAACTGTTTTCCCTTTGGAAACAGAAATTCTGTAGAGAAGTCATTCATAAAAACAGAACATTTACTTTTTCTTTTTATAGAAAATTCTTTCCTAAACTCTGAATAGCTCTTCTCTGTAAGATGGAGCACAAGAGACAAATCTTTCATTGGGTAAATATAATAGAAACAAAGTGAAACATGAGTCACAGGCTGGGTTGTTGGGGGCATACTTTAAGATTCAAGAATTTACTGATTTCAGGTCCCATGTCTTCATTAGGCAATATCTGAAGAGCACATTCGTCTTAGGGACAGTTCTCCCCCTTTCTACCTTCTTAAAAAGAGGTGTGTCATTAGTCAAAACCAGTTCAACAGATCAACTGGCCACCACCTCCACCCACTGTATTTCAATGGATTCTGATCCCAAATATTCTAGACATGGCTTTAGACCAGAGGTCAACAGACGCGTGAACTGCAACTTCCAGTACTACAGCCTAGTCGTGTATCAGTCTCTTAAAACAAAATTTCAGACACCAACATCTGAGATACAATGCAGTAAATGTAACCATAGAAAGTTTGGCAGTCATATCTGGTCCTCACACGATGCCTACTCAGACCAGGAGGTGGTCCTAGGTGCTGAGTTATGGTGCCATTGCGTGTTGATCAACCCATCTCAGAAAAAGTTGTAAAGATGGTCACCCTGGCCCTGCAGCTCCCACCTCAGCCAGCATGCCACCCACTAATACGTAGACTCATTTTATGAAAGGTGATTATATATTCAATCATCTTCTAGACCTTTTTTCACATCCATGGCATCCTAAGTGCCACACCAAAAGTGGAGAGTAATACCATCTATAATGACATGGATTTCAGATAGACTGACGTTTGATATCTATGGTTGTTATAGCATTAAAAGTGCTTTTTCTACAAAGCATTTCAAATCAAAGTAGCCAAACAGTGAATAGGCAAAGTCTGCAGAGATAAATTAAGTCTGAACGATCAGTGCAGGTATTTTCCTGTTCCTCCTTACATGTTTCCTCCCTACCTCCCAGTACTGGCTCTAATCCAAGGTCTGACCTAACACGGTAAGCTGTTGTCAGATCTTACGGACATGCCTTTCAGAGATCCATATGATTTTTTTAGAAAATCGGAGACTTTGCCAAGGTATCTGTTAGACGACAGGGGCAAGGAGAACAAATACTGGCAAAAATTTCACTCTGAGCATCCTTGTAGGAGACCTCAGCTCCAAGTGGGCTACACAACCAGAGAGATGAGCTGGGGAAACAGAGAGAGGCAGCAGCTAAAGTGGCAATGCTTAGACTCTTCAGTTTCATTACAAAGGGGCGGCCGTGTGGAGTTCGCCAGTGTAGCTGCAGCAACCAGGTTCTGCTTTATACACCCCAGAGGTGAGGAGCTTGGATGGAAGGGCAGGAGGGTCCTCCTCACCTAAGGAAAGAAGAGAGGGCAGAGCCACACGTCATTGCACCTCACTGGGCTGGGCACTCAGGCCACAACGTGGCAGAATCTGGGTTTGGACTACAAGCTTTACACAAGTGAGGCAGGCATCCCAATCAGCTCAAGATGGGGCACTTGCATGCTGCTAAGAGGTCCTAGTTCCCTTAGTTGGGAGTCAAGGGTTTGCATGCATGACTGCAACTAGTCACAGGACAGTAAGGAGCAGCCTGACACAGGCATTCTTCAGGGGCTCCCTAGGGAAGTGGGTCCTCCTACAGAGCTCTACCTGGAGCCTGTGCTAAGCTGTGATGGAGAGACTACTGCATCCCTGAACCTCAGGTTCAACAGATGTGGCTTTAAAGACATTGGGAGGTTTGGGCAGAGTAACAATACAAATTCCAGCAGAGATCCAGGTCCACAGAACTTCCTCTAACACCATTGGGGCCCACTCTGTCCTGGTCTTCAGATGTTTTTGGAGTTTAGGAAGGTGATATAATGCACATACTGTATATCACATAACATGGGACTGGACTGCTCACCATAATTTAGCATTAGCTCACACATGTGAACGTTCCCATTACCTGGGATAAATTGAAACTATCAAGGCAGTTGTGTTACTTCCCACCAGGTTTCACTGCCAGGTAAGTTTGCACCCAAATTAGAAAACACTTTCCACAGATTTTGGAATTATGAACAAATGCTCTGGCCTGCATCAGAACCAACCCACCGGCACTCTGGGCTCCCCAGTGCCTTACCCAGGCCTGAGGAGGACGACACACTCTCTGTCAGCGAGGACGTTTCTGTTTGGTCTGCTGAGAGCCCTTCCATCAGAGGCAGTGACAGCTCGGAGGAGGGCACAGAAGAGTCGTAGATGCCTGAGTCCCGAGGCATGCCCAAGCCAACGGCTTTCGCTGTGTGCAGCAGGGGCTGCAGGACGGAGCTGCCACCGGGGCTGGGCCCGGCTTCTGCGTCTTCGTCCAGGCCAAGCTGCTGACCCTCCGAGTGTGAGTCAGCTGGCGACCCAGGGACGGGTGCCTCAGCCTTGAGAGAGAAGTCGCTCTCAGGCCCCGGTTTGCACATTACATCATTTAGGGCCAAGCCAGAGTCAAACTTCTCCAGCACTGGCTCCTGGTAGCGGAGTCGGGGAGGGTGGAAGGGAACGAACTGTTTCTCAAACCAGTCTGGCTCCTCGTCAATAAACTGGTGCATGTTGCAAATGGCGACGTACAAGGACCGTCCAGACTTGCTCCGGAAGTAGTTCCTCCTGCTGATGTGCCCAGGATGCTGCCCCAGCTCCGGGAGGCTGTGGTCTCGTGAATGCAGGTGGGAACAGAGCTGGGGAAGGTTGTCCATGAGCTTGTACTTGGTGCTCAGGTCCAGTACACCAGGAACATCTCCCTCACAGGAATAATCAAAGTAGACTGCAATGAACTTGCTGAGTGCGGCTGATGAGCTCTGCTTGGCCTGGCGGAGCTTTTCGGCGATGGCCGACACGGCCACCAGGAAGAGCTCCCCTTTCCCGGAGCCTCGGCTGCCTCCTTTGTGCTTGTAATTCTTCTTGTCCACAAAGTACTTCATGCCTTTGGAACAGACCACGATGATGAACTGGGACTCATGGATCTTCTGGATGACCCATTCTCTCTGCCCTTCTCTGCAGAGGCTAAAGTCTTCCCACAGGTCCAGAGCCACCTGGAAAAAGAGGACCCACACTCACGTACAGCCTGGACTGTCGAGTAAGAATGGGAATGTTACAAGAAGGGCACATTATCTATCCCTTCATCATTATTAGCACTGCTATGTACTGCTTCAAGGTTACCTGGCCCCAAGGAACAGCTAGCATTCCATAGGTAACAGCCACACACCAGGCCCTCTGTATCGTGTCCTCATTGTAGCTTAATGTGCGATCATGGACACTCCTGTCCTACAAGTGAAAAGATCTAGAAGCACAGAGCTTCTAGCAACCTGCCTAAGTCACAAATCAAGCGTGAGGTCCTCAAGGAACTTACAGTGTGACGCAGAGCAAGGAAAATAGAGACGCTGGCCCTGGCTTGTGTGGCTCAATTGAGTAGCAGCCTGTGAACCAAAGGGTCACCAGTCCGATTCCCAGTCAGCGCACATGCCTGGGTTGTGGGTCAGGTCCCCAGTAGGGGATACGTGAGAGGCAACCACACATTGATGTTTCCCTCCCCTCATCTAAAAATAAATAAATATTTATAAAGAAAAAAGGAAAAAAGAAAAAGAAAACGGAGTCACAGGAGTTGGTCTACCTGATGAATGAGGCTGCTCACACAGGGGGCAGACAGGTCCCGGCGAGAAAGCTGGAAGGCGGTGATGGAGGGATATGGGTGAGGGGCCTAAAGTGGGTTGAAAAGTGGGGCTCAGGTCTGGATGTGCGTCATCCACAATGCTGGATGACTCATGTCCAGAGAGCGTGACGACAAGAGGACCTCCCTGACCACTCTTACAGCCGTGCTGTTGACCATTTGGTCAGTGGCTGAAGAAGAGGATGGTAAACTACAGAAATGTCAGTAATGTGGCCATTCTGGTTAACTCATTGGGGAGTGACCAGCATCTTCCACCATGACCTCACAGTGCTCTTCATGGTTACATCTGTACAAGGCCTTTAACTCCAAGGGGAGTCTGGTAGGAGATAGGGGGTGAGGGAAGAAAACCAGGCCTCCTCAGAGGGTTTTGCCTCCCCAGACCATTTTCATCTGATTCTGCTGAAGTCATCTCTTCGCAATTGTACCTTTCTCTTCCCTTCTGTAGTTCAGAAACTAACTCCCGAAGGCTCTGCCCGAACAGCGGCCACAGTCTGTTAAGGGGGAAAGGGATTTGAAATGACTTCGTCTTTCCCTTCTGCTCTAAGGTGTTACCAAAGGGAAGAAACCCCAAATATCTATCCACCTGCTGAAGATAATCCTGACTTGTCTTACACTTGCCCTAAGTCTTCCAGATGTTATAAATACTAAAAACTAACTGGGGTTATATACCAAGCATTTAAAATATGTTCCTATCTTTGATCCAGCAATTCCATTTCCAGGAATTTAACTTTGTAAAATCATCAGAAATGAGGAAATACTGAACTACTAAGATGTTTAACAATTTGAAATAACATTATGGGTCACGTGGCTATTTAAGACTGCAGTTTACATAAAACTGCCAATTGTGTAAAAAGTTATGAAGGAGACAGAAAAAATAATTCCAAGACACCCAAAATGCAAAATGTACATATGAATTCATCTATGTAGAAAAAGACTGCAAACACATACACCAAATACTAACCATGGTTCCTCTCTTCTCCAGGTTAAGGTTACAGGCCATTTTTCCTCATCTTTTTCTAGTTCCAAAATTTTCTACACTATGTCAAACATAAATGAGGTTATCTGTATCTGAAGACAGTGTGTGGCACCCGCTCAAGTTTGCTGTTGTTTTTTAGCACATGTGCTGATCTGCCAACCTCTCTACCTTCCTGTATTGGGAAACTGAGCCAGCCTTGTAAATACCTTTTGTGACACTAGAGGGCAGCCTCACCACATGGAGAGACTGAGAAACCCACCAGCAGGCACAAATAACGCAACTACACAATTATTGTATAATTCTATGTAAGAAACAATGTGCTCTCCATGAAAGTTGCAGACTTCACTCTAAGGTTAACATTATAACATTATAAGTAATCTACATATGAATAGCTTAACTCAAAAAGCAAAACTCCCCCAAAGAATTTCCAAACCTAATACTTTACTTGCCATTATCTCTCCAACCTGCCGCGGATGCTCACCAGGATATGTCAAGTGACCACCTCTCCCCACCCCCACTGCATGCTCCCAGGGCAGCTGCCTTTCCACCCACATAATTTCCTGCGAGGCAGTGCTACTCGAGGCTTCTGAGGAGGAGTGTGTCAGCGTTAGAGCTGGGTGTTCAAAAACATTTAGTTTTGGTGATGGGTACAGACTGAGAGAAGAGTGCAAGGCTGATCCCGATTTGGAAGCCAGGAACTGCTGGGGAGCAGGCGCCACCAAATGAGGCCTGGAGGCAGGGATAAGGTGGCCAGAAGAGGGTATGGAGCATGTGCCCCACAGGACGTAAGAGAAAAAGCCTTTAGATTCCTTACCTCACAGCCGCAGAAGTCCTGGAGGAAGTAGGCAAAACACTGGACGACATTCATGTGATTCTGGCCATCTTTACTGGAATAGCAGAGGAAGACCTTCGGCCGTGGCTGGAGCCTCTCTCTGGGGAGCGCTGTAGTGTAGGTGGAGGACTCAGAACTCTCTTCATCTAAATGTGAATATATATTTTCTAAATTGGAAAAGAAGATAGGATTGGAAGCTATGAACAATGCTTTGTCCTGCGCCCTAAGACTGAGGACCTAATGTTACCTTCAAGAAACAAAAGGTGACATGTCCACTCAGAGCGCTCCCAATCCCCAACTCCACCAGCCCCCCGTGAGTCACCACTGGGAATGGGGCAGCTGACGTATCAAGGGGAGCGACAAATGGCCAAAAATTGTTCTTCACCTAAAATTGACCTTGAGCAAACTAAGAACTCTACAGGGACCACCCTAATCAGCAGAAAGCACTCAGAACAAATTCTTGCAACCAAGTGCACCTACCAGTCCAATCAGCATTGGCAGAGAATAGCTTTTTTTAAAAGATACTTTTTTATTGAAGTATAACTTACAAAGGTAAAATGCACAAATCTTAAAGAGTACATCTCAATTTTTTATCTAAGTATACATCTATGTGATTGGCACTCAGATCAAGATACAGAACATTTCCAACTCCCCAGAAGGTTCCCTCCTGACACTTGACTTTTTGTAAGTGACCAAGCCCTGCCTTTATCCTTACTCATACCTTTAGACTTCCCTGATGCTCTTGAATTTACTGTCCCAAGTTTGAGAATAGACACATGCTTGTCCTTTTAGTGGCTCCTGAGGTTAAAAGTCAAGCATTTTAATTCTAGAAAGTACTGTAGCCAGGAAACTGGCTAAGGAGCTACATAGCTTCCCAGATGCCCACCTAGAGGGACCAAGCACGCTGGTCCTGCCCCCCGGCGGGGGACACACCACACACATACCTTGTTGCTTCTTGCGGCACATCACGGTGAAGAGTGTTGCGAAGGCCGATATGACGACCAGTGGCACAGTGATGGCAACAGCTCTGATGGGCCCAGCCCATGGGGAATGCGCTGGGGAATTGCAAAGGGAAGGCTTTTAAACTGAAGCAGCAGAGCGGCTTCGAAGATTTTTTTTTTTTTTCCTTTTCAACAGAAGCCTCTTAACAGGTTCTAGGATCACCTTGACCACCTTTCTCTAGTACTTGTTTAGTCATTTAAAAAGGATTCAGTTTGAAGAAACAATTCAACAGTTAGTCTGCTAACTGTAAATACCTTTGAGTGAGAATTTTGCCTAAGGAAACCTCCCCCTCCCACCGCCACTTTTCTTCCAAGGACAATTGACTTATTTATTTAGTTCCAGCAACATACACCACACCGGCTTTGATCTTCCAGGCATCCACATTAGGGTGGAGAAAAGCCAGATTTGACTGAACATCCTTTGGGAGAGAAGCTCAAGTTTTGTTTTGTTTTTGTAAACCATTAGGTACGGATACCTTGGTGCACTAGAGTCCTGAGCCAACATTTCCAAAAAATAAAATTCTTACCTGGCTTTAAGGTATAATGCATCACTTTCCTTGTTATATTAGTGTCATCCACCAGCTGCAAAACAGAGGACGCTATATTATTTTTTTTAAGTGATAGCATCTCAACAGATTTCAATCTTTTGTCATCTCTGGGCGGGGTCGGGCGGGAGGAAGGAGAGTGGGGGGAGGGAAACGAGGGCTGCTGTCTGCGATCATTTATGAGCTGAGAGTGGACATTAAGGGTCAGACACATCTCTGCTTTACCAACTCAAAAGTCTCGACTTCTTCATAAATCAAAAGGTTGTTTAGTCATTGATGAAATCAGCTAGTGAGTTCTGCGTTCTAACAATTTCCAATTAGAATGGCATCTTACCACTGATCTTACTGGGCCTCCATTAATGCTTTAAGAGGGTGTGTCTGTTCAAAACCACATATTGCTACAGAGTACTGCAAGAACTAGGTGTTTCTACCAAAATGTTAAGACACGTTGTTTGTCTTTCGATAGGAAGGTATGGACAAATTTTTAATGTTTCTTTCTATTTTTCTTTTACTCATGTTTCTGTAGTATTTTTGATACTGGAAAAGAAATCTACAAAAAGAAAAGAAAAAGTATATCATTTACATGCTCTTTTAAGTGTAACTTAGAACTCATGTAAATTTATACAACAGAATGTCAGGAGAAACCTAAAGAAGTATAGGTAGATGTAATGCGCATAATTTTTGCTTTGCTGTTTTATTACTAAAACAAGACTTTCTAGAAGCAAAGGTTTTAAAAATATACCTTTGCAAGGAAGAGAGAATACGACATAGAATTTTAAATCATGGTTATGTGCGCTGTATGGTTACATAAAAATATTTATTGGAAATATTTAATGAAAAAAATCAAAGATCAGTTTCATATAAACTCTTTTAAAAACATGTTAAGGACCATGTAAAAATATAACTATGCACACCTTCAATGGCTTGAAATTTTAGTGGTGTAAACAGTTGGAATTCTGAATGAACTAGACTCATTCTGTAGAATTCATAATAAGGCCTTCTTGATTTATACATACCTCAATTACATAATCCCCTGGAGACACATTTTGAAGGAGGCAGGTGGTTGTCTCTGTATTTTGCTCCTGCAAAGGAATAATACTTTTAAAATGTGCTTCTTGAATAAAGACTATCAGGACCCCTTTCTTTCCTCAGAACCGCAGGAGATTTGACACCAGTCTCATGTTTTCAGAAGGCATCAATCAGATCAGAAAGCTACTATGTTTATCTGCCACCTTATCTGAACTCCACTTTGATAAAAGGCCCAGGAGAATCTGGGACCCCTGTCATTGTACACTTAGCTGGTGGTGCCCTTAACAGGAATATCTGATTTGAAACTATGTAGTTAGAATACCCTTTACTTAATAAAAGGGTGGGGAAAGAAATTACCTATTTGTGTTTATTTGACTTGAGTAGAAGGTCAAAAGTCAATGAATAGGTGTGAGCCAGCAGGAAAGCAAAACTCAATACACACACAGGAAGATGCCAAGGAAGATCCTGGCGTCTTCCGCCATGACTAAAAACCTCTTGGTGCTCCCAGGGGACGATCTAGCAGTACTGTGAACTTCCAAGGACAACAGCGTGGTGACTGAGGGGGTGGGGTGTGTGGGAAGAAGCGGGTATAAGGGGACTAAATAGTACTGGAAAAAATACAACAAAAAAATAAAACAAAAAAAGTATTTTTTTATAACTCTAAAAATAAAAGGTTGCCTCCAGTTTAAGAACTTGGTTAACCTTGGCCTATGTGTAAAAACAATAGCCATTGAAATGCTAGTGATGTGGCTCTTATGTAGTTTTTCCACTTATTGGGTGACCTTGAGCAAGGTAGGTGACCTCCCTGAGCCTCTGGTTCCCCATCTGTAAAGTAGGAATGACAGCAGCCTCTGTTCCATAGAGGTTATAAGGATTCAATGGGCGAAAAGCTTGGTGACTGGCACATGGTGAGCACCTGATTAATGTTTAAATATGAAAGAATGAACTAGAAATACTTAATTATTTTGGTTCCTTGGTAATATTATTTTTACCAGGTGACGTCACCGCCAGAACAGCTGGGGTGTAGATAACTGGGGAGTGAGGGATGACAGCAAGATGGCCTGAGACTTACCTAGTGATAACATTCTGGAATATCTACTGACTGCTGAGAGTCAACAACACCCAACACTCAAACTGAATCATCGAAAGTCCAGGGGTGCAAGGGTCACTTTAAAACATGTAGTGTTTCTTTATGTATAACTAGCAGCTCACCTGTTTACAAGTCTTTCGCTTAAAGGGTCCCTCATGCTTGAGCTTGTAGTGAAGATAGAAGAAACGGAAGCCAAAGGTGTGTGGTGCGTGGTCAAAGGACACCTGCATATCCAAACCGTACTGGGTGATATTCAGGTTTCGAGGCTTCCAGACTGGGAGGAGAAAGGACCTGGAGTGAGCACCCTGAGGCCAGGTGATACCACCAGGGTGGTGACATTTTAAGACAAGAACAGCTATACTTACAGGGTTTACAGGCCAGGTTGTCCGGCTGTAACAGCAAGTCACAGGCTATTAAGAGAGATGCATATTTTTGGTTATAGGACAGTTTGACATTTTTCTTGTCCAACAATTCAATAAAATATAAATATCTGGCACTAGGTGCTACTGGAAGAGTATAAAATATATCAACTCAAACAATGATTTTCAATACAGTGCAGTTGTACCTTATGAAGACTTAAATTGTACAATATAAAATATTAATGCAGTTCATTTTATGCCAATAAAACACTACAAAGTCACTCAGATTTTAAAAGCTTGTCGAGTATTACAGAATTCCAAGGCCAGTGGCCAAGGGCAGCGGGACCATGTTCATACTAGTGCCACATGGAGGCCATGTCAACTGTGAACAGAAATGACGCTGGGCCCTGTCCCACGGTGGAGGTGTTTAGGCACAGGAGATCAAGATAACCCTGTCTCAGGGTTATTTTTTTTTAAGTGGGTGCCAATATCAGCTCCATTATTTTTTTTCTTTTTTAGTGATTTTAGAGAGAGAAAGGAGGGAGAAAGAGAGAAACACTGATTGACTGGAGACCAAACCCACAATCTAGGCATGTGCCCTACCCAGAAATTGGACCCATGACCTTTCAGTTTGCAGGACGATACCCAACTGACCGAGCCACACCAGCCAGGGCTATCTCAGGGTTATTTTAACCTTCACTAGCATTCTAATATAAAATCCTTTTGATGGAGTCTAAAACTGACATCAGGCATCTACTAAGGAGTAGCACCAGTGCTGAAAACCAGGCACCAAAGCCAGTAGCTTTGAAACATGATTGCAATGCAATAAAAACTCAATGAGAGAGCCAAACAGCTAGTTCAACAAGCCATGTCGCTAATCCAGGAGAAGCCTCTGGGAAAGGTCCATACAGTTTCAAGAAAACAGAAGGCAGTCTCAAAGTCACTGCACTGAAATAGTGATAAACACATCTCCTGCCTCTGTCTCACATACAGATAGACATATTGACTGATTCCAATGGGAAAAAAATAATCTTAAATTATGATAGGTTTGATTTAGGCAAACTTTTCATGAACACATGCTTTGAATTCACTATCTGGTTGCTAAGTATAAGGCATCAAGAGATATTGGTGAGTGCTAATGGTCTTTTCCCTGTGGAATCTTATTTAATTCAGAAAATGAGACCAGTTGTAATAAAATACCTTTGCTGCATAGTAAACAACCACAGTTTAAAAAAAATAATAAAGATAGTCTAGAAGAAAACAACGAGAGTAAGAATTCTTCAAAGGGAAAGAAACACTGATGAAGGCTAACGTTGAGAATAAAAACATCCCAGGGGAGGGAAACAGGAAGCAGACCACACAGGAGGGGATGCCATGCCGTGCTGACTGCTTGCCATCCGAGGCCTGGCACAGCAGACAGACAGACTGACCTGGAGGACAAGAGAGCTCTGCTGAAGCTTGCAGGGTGTCTGGGCGCCAACAAGGAAAGCAGCGATTCAGAGAGATGAAGGAGACGTGTGCAAAACAGATGGAAAGGGAGAGCCAGGCAAAAACGGGAACCCAGCATGGGTAGTGGTTTGAGAGTGTGGCTAAGAGTCAGACTTCTGGGGTTCAAATCCCAGCTCTGGAAAGCCCTTTGTCTTCTCTGTGTGTGATTCCACATCTAATTACTAATTCTGTACAGAGTTGTCACGAGGAAAACTGACTGACTTAATATTTGGAAAGATATACAACAGGGCCTGGCACAAAGGTGCAAAATAAGTAAGTAGAAAGAATAAATTTCTAGGAAGAAGTGACCTCAGGAACGCTGCGTAATTTTCTTTATCTAATTCTGAAAATGACAGGTAATCCCCCCACCAAGGCCTCCCTCCTGATGACACATAGAGGATGGAATCATGTTATGCTCTACTCTTCACCCTAAAATCAACTTATACTCTGTCTTTTTTTTTTTTTTTTTTTAGATTTATTGATTTTAGAGAGAGAAGGGGGTAGAGAGAGAGACAGAGAGGGACAGGGAGAAACATCGATTTGTTGTTCCCCTTATTGATGCATTCACTGGTTGATTCTTACATGTCCCCTGACTGGGGATTGAACTCGTAACCTCGGCATATCGGGACAATACTCCAACCAACTGAGCTACCCAGCCAGGGTGTATTCCTATTTTTTTTTAATCAAATGGTTTTAATATGTGACTAACAGCACCCTCTAAAAAAAATCAACCATCATGTCTACTCTAGACCAAACCAGGAATGGGTATCTCTGGTTAGATTACCACATTGTGGGCCAAATCTTAATTCTAAAAGTTGCTTTTCTGGATGCTTTTCTCTTCGCCATGCTGGTTTCATACCAGTATTTTGTGGGCTCTTGAATACATATCTACTGAAAATTAAAAACAGAAGTCTCGCAATGGGAACCAGGCAGAAAAGGCCATACTCACCTCGGGTTCTGAAAAAGAAAGGGTGATAATTGCTTTCGTTTTTAATGGAAGGAAAAGGAACAATCTTTACAAAGTAATCCGTCTCAAACTTCATATTCAGGAAAGGTTGAGATTCCATTCCCTAAATGGGAACAAAAACACACGTGATGTCATGGAGAAATTACCCACCCCTCCGCCTACCCAAAAGAGCTTCAGTCCTCCCTGACAGTCACCCAGGCACAATTCCAGGGCTGGGGACATGTCCCAGGGAAGGAGGAAGTCAGGTCTGTTTTCTGAACCAAGCTTAGGTTTGGATCCCTCACTGAAATGAAGATCAACAACGCTGTCTGTTCTTTGGCAAGGAAGCCAGATCTTCTTAACAGTGAACTTCAAAGATGGTAGGAAGGAGCCCACATACACACAGAAGAGCACAAAGCACCTTCCAGGATGTAACCTGAGAAGTATGTTTACCAGTGAGAGGTCCTGGAGGATTTCTCAGGGAGCGTGGTGCAGGCTGGCAGTGTTGCCCGCCATTCTTGCCCACCCTGGCAGGTGGGGTGGATCCCAAAGCCCCTCATTCTCCAGTTTCACAGACTGTGAATAGACCATTCAACCCCCTGGAACAATGCGTGTCTTCAGGAGCACATTCCCCATGTGTGACTTACAGTCCTTTTGAAGCTACTGTTGAGCTGCTTTGGGTCCTTCAGAATCAGTTGCTGGCACTGTCGTCCCTCTGACTTCAGCTCCTCCAGTATTACCCGAAATCCTTTCAGGAATTCAATGCCTAAGCAAAGCGGAATGCTTTTATTAAAAGTTGGACCCAAAGTGGACCACACCAAGACACATCACAATTAAAATGGCACAGATTAAAGATAAAGAGAGAATCTTAGAAGCAGCAAGAGAAAAGCAGAGAGTTACCTACAAAGGAGTTCCCATAAGACTATCAGCTGATTTCTCAAAAGAAACTCTGCAGGCAAGAAGGGGCTGGCAAGAAGTACACAAAGTAGTGAAAAGCAAGGACCTACAGCCAAGACTGCTCTACCCAGCAAAGCTATCAGTTAGAATTGAAGGGCAGAAAAAGTGCTTCCTAGACAAGGTAAAGCTACAGGAGTTCATCATCACCAAGCCATTATCACATGTAATGGCTAATTTAAGAAAAAGAAGACTATCAAAACTATGAACATTAAAATGGCAACAAATTCATAACCATCAAAAGCTGAATCTAAAACAACAAACTAAGCAAACAGCCAGAACAGGAACAGAATCATAGACATGGAGATCATTTGGAGGGTTATCAGCTGGGAGGGGGAAGGGGGAGAATGGGGGGAGGAAGGTACAGGGAATAAGAAGCCTAATTGGTAGGCACAAAATAGACAGGGGGATGTTATGAACAATGTAGGAAATGGAGAAGCCAAAGAACTTACATGCATGACCCATGGACATGAACTAAGTGGGCGGACTGCTGGAGGGAAGGCTGGTACTGGGTGGAGGCGGGGGAAGGGGGAAAAATCAGGAAAACTGTGATAGTATAATCAACAAAACATTTTTTTAAAATGTGGACCTAATTATTGTACTTTTAAACACACTTTCCTTCCTTCAACATTATCATCTCTTCTACCCACCTGGCAAAGTTAACAGAATTCTTACTCTGGCCAGAATATCTGAGTTTACAGAAAGGAAAAACACATATCCTGCATTCCTCTGGTACAGGCCAGGTGATTTTCTCTGTCACGCCATTACTAATTAAATAATCTCTAATCCAGCCAGGCATTTCACATATGCCCATTGCCTCTGTGATATCAGGGTACAAATACTTAGATTCAAGTCACAATTGATCATTAAAAAGTCTGCAGTGGAATACATAATTTCTAGGTCATTAAAAACAGGGTGTATCCAGCTGATAATGCCCCATACTGACTAGGGACTCTCCCCAAACCATTGTTTCCACTCTAAGTTTTAGTCCTGTATTTGTTGGTGTGTTTCAATATGTAATGTACAAAATTCCCAACAAAATGTATGTCTGCACCCAAGGGGTTCCTACGCTTGAGATGAAATGCTTTAGAAGAAAGCCTATGTGATTTACAAAGCGGTTCTTGCTCTAATCATGCCTGAAAGGCAGACACCCAAGAGCTGCCCAGTGTGTTCTCTTCACACAGCCCTCAGAGGCCCCAAGTCGCCCACAGCGCTGCTGAAAGGCACAGGCCCAGCCTCCTGCCACCTGAGCTTCCCCTGCTGCACCTCGAACTAGATGCTTTCAAAAGGATTAAGCTCTGATGTCCACAAGAGCCAGTACCGGGGCTCTGTATCCCATGGAGACTGGAGTGGTCCAACTGCAGCTGGAGATCCCCCAAGCTGGCCTCAATTGGCACGATATCAATTTCGCATTCTTTCTGAACACTAGACAAGGAGACATTTTCAACCCTTCCCCTCCCAGGGCCAAAGTAATTACACAGGATGCAATTAACCAGGTGGGAAAATTATGGATGGTAAAGGCCAGAGAAATCTTTCCTCTTTTGAGGAGATTCTCCAATCCTGTAACTGTTTGATGAAAAACACATATTTTATTGTGTGTAGGGCAAAGGAGCTACAAGTAGAGCTTCCTGTTTTAGGGGGAGTTGAGAGTGTATAGGTAGAGACACTGTTGTATTTCAAGTACAAAGTTTCCTGTGGGGGTGACCAGCTGACCAACAACCTGAGAATCAAACATGCTGACAAGATCCAGCAACTATTTAGCAGCTATCACAAGAATTCACCTTTTGAGACTCTTCCCTCACCACCCACCTCCCCAATTTTTAAAACAAATTCTTATTATTTATACTAAGGCTTTCATTCAACGTCCCCAGAACAACTGTTTTTAACAAAAGCCAGGTGATTAGTATGATTAAAGACCCTACATCTCACAATTACATAAAAATTCACCAGTTGTGGTGGCAGTTGGTGGTTTCAGCCCTTATTTTTAAGAGAGTTGCCTGAAAACCCACTGCACCAAGTCTGGGAGTCGGGAAGAGGCAGCAAATGTGAAACTTAAGTCACAGTAACACCTTTATCACAATACTATTAGCACCTCATAGTTACACAATGTTTAGCAATTCTATAGGGCAGCTTTCCATAAAGGAACTTATTTACCCCTTCCTATCACTTAAGTCATTAAATCCTCCTAACCACCACAGAAAGAGGGCACGATTATCCTCATTTTATTCATGAAGAAACCGAAGTGTAGAGATGCAAAATGACTTGCCCAGGGTCACACAGGAATTAAAGGGCAGAGGTGGGATTTAAACCTGGAATGCTCTTAACCCATATGCTTTTCTCGCTCCCAAGGAGCTTCCTGGGCAGAACCTCACAGAAACTGACAGAACCTGTCCAGCCACCTCCCCTTACACCCGCCAAATCATCGTGCAGGTAAAGCACAGCCTTCTGCCTCAGAGTTCCACGTGTTGGTTTCCTACCACCAGCTAAACTCTGTTACATGGAGCCTGCAATTCATCAGGTCAGCCCTAGCCATTTAGCCTTACATGGATCAACCACTTCCCTTTTATCCACAGAGAATGTTTGTATCTTTAAATGTTAAGATAATGTTATTTTTGGAAACCCATTGGGTTCAGACCCAGCAGTATTTACATGAATAAGCAAGTCAGGCCCACGGGTCTGATTCATCCTCCCTCTCTCTGCACTTACCTCTCCTGCAATCTGGCTCTTCTGAGATTTATCCCATTCAGATTTCAAAATTCAGACTTTATATTTCCCTTGGCCAGATTTTTTTTAATTCTAAGATTGAGTGGCAATGCCAAAGGACCAGGTTCTGATAATGATAACAAGAGCCACAGTTTTTTCAGAGTTCGCTCTAAAAATGTGCCACATGGGTCTCTAATTCTTAAACCAAGAGGCAATCATCTGCACTTTATAGATGGGGAAACTGGGGCTCAGTGAGGTTTGAAGGTCTCTTGTGATTCTGGGTTCAAATCCAGGCCCATTTGAAGAAATGGGCCCTCCCCATGTCCCACACAACTGTCCCATCCTCTCCCGTGTATCATCAATTCATTAAAGAAGACAAGTAGACATGTCCTTAACCTGAATCTGGCCAGATTATGTGGATTTGCTTTTTTTCTGTTTCTTTGTTTTCGTTTGGTTTTTTCAGACCGTACTGTTTAAATAAAAATTCCATTAGTTGCCAATATTCAAAAATTGTTTATTTCATGGTTTCTCATGAAAACTGGGATTTTCTTGAAAACTCACAAAATGTGCCAATGCTGGGCCTGCACATCTCTGTGTGGCTAACGACCATTAATGCTGAATGCCAAAGTCTTCACATCCTTGGATGGGCCACCCATCCTCCCACTATGGCTGAGACACAGAGGCTAAGCAATGCCTGTGACACTTACCACTCACACACTAGTATTTTTCAAGCCCACATCTCTCTCACTAACAGCCAAGGGAAAAAAGACGAGCCACAGGGCACAGCATGAAGCGGAGCACACCCGGCAGGTGTATGCATGTAAGTAGGAAGCAGGTCTGTTCCCAGGCCAATCAAAGCTACTCTCGTGTCAAGACCCCTGGAGGCCGTCAGGTTTGGGACCCTTGCACTGGGCATTACCCACCCAGGCCAACATAGTGGATTCCATTTTGATCACTTACCAAGGGCCCCTGGGGACCAAAGAATGGTGACTGCCACCTGGTCGTGGCAAGCATACTGACTGATGGTGATGTTCTGGGCATCAGCAATCACATGCTTCCCCAGCGGATTCAAGTATGTGGTACAGTCTAGAGAGTTGGGAGAACAAGAACAGTCACGTTTAAAATTGTAGTTTTTAATAGAATAATAAAAAATTAAAAAATAAAAATATATTTGTATCCTTATCATAAAACAATTAAAAGTAAAAAAATAATTAGTTTTTAATTACAAGTTCATCTTCTCAAATTACGTAAAGCATGTCTGCAGGTAGCCATATCCATTTTGTGTGCCTCAAAAGTCCAAATATGACATCAAAGGTTGACTGTTTAGAAAACTCTAAGATGCCCCAGTGGGATTTATTGATAACACCACCATCACCACCACCCACCCCTTGAGTTAAATTCCAGGACAGTATTAGAAGGATCCTACATGGGCTGGAGTCTGTGTGTGCATGTGGCATGAACTTTTTTACCATTATGACATTTTACCCAAATCAATAATTATTTATATCACTTCAGTTTTCAGCATTAGGGAATGAGGTAAACAAAACAATGGCTAAATAATCTGGGTTCACTTGTTTTCAGAAGAAACCTGGAGGGCAAGGTGCATGGGAAAAGGAAATAAAATGCGGATGTAAATTCAGGGGAGAATGAAGACTGTTAAACAATCCAATTATTAGCTGCAAAAGATACTGACTGGCTTAGTGATAAGCAAAGCACCTTCAAATGTTAACTAGCATCAGCAAAGGTAAAACTTTTGTTCCCATACTCCACAAGTCATCAAAGACACCCACCATACCCACCAAATCCAGAGTTCACACTGCTGAAAAAACAAAACCCCTGATTCTTTGATTTTGTCTGAGGACATGGTTCACTGCCACCTGTCAATACAGCCATGACAATGCAAGCAGCTGTGCCACCTGGTTTTGCTAAATATACCTTCAAAGGCTGCAAGATCCTAAAGAACTGCCAGAGGCCTCCAGCCAGGCTCCGGCTGGGATTTCTGAGAAGGGCCACTCGTGCAGAGAGACCACCAGCCATCCCTGTCAGACACCAATTCATAATTCTTATGCTGCTTCATCTCCGTCTTTTCTCAATGTTAAACTTGAAAACTGTCTTTGGTATCTGCTGCAAAAGGTCTTCAGTTCCATCAACCCACCTGTCACCCCTCTGAAGTCAGCGTGTTTTCCTTGGAGGGGGAGCATTCAGAGGCGTTTTCTAAGCTCAGTGAGCCTGCTGCATTTCCCCTCCGGCTCCCCCAAAACTGCACCACACATTTGCCATTTTTATGACTAAAAGTGTTCACTGGATATTTAAAAATTAAAAGAGAATATTGGGAAAATGTAAAAGTCACCTGGAACCTCTCACCACACAGAACTAGTAACATATAATGGATAGCCTTCCAAGCAGTGTAACGTGCACGTAATATTCCTCCTTTTAAAATTCCTTATTAAAGTACAGCACACGTGCACTAAAATACACCCCTGTTTCAAAACGTGATCCTCCACACACACTGCTTTGTGTCCTGCTTTCTTGCCTGGCCATATCAGGTGTACTCCTGGCTGTTTCAAAAACTGCCCTCAACATTTCAATATCACTTCTTCTGAAAAAATGTTAATAATTAATAAAAACTGAATTCTATACTTCTGATGAAAATTCACTCTTAAAGCAGGGCTCTTGCTATTCCATCCTTAGCACACAGCTTATTACTCAAATGAGTTCTGAATCAGAAGAGTTCAGCCTGCAAAATTCCTGGCTGAGCCTAGCTTCCCAGCATAAAAAACAACATGACCCCATCACACATGTAAAGTTCAAACATTTTCATTTATAGGTCTACAGTGAAAGGGAAATCTTTGTCTTCAGCTTTAGGAAAAGAGGCATGAACAAGAGGGAATCATGGGTTTTTTCTTTGTTCATTTCTAATGCCAAAATTAGCATTCTGCAGCTTTCTGTAAATACAATTATGCAAATAAAGTCTAAGAATTAAGAAAATGTATTACAACCTACTCAGGCATTACCCCCTCAGAGCCTGAAGAAGAAACAAGGAATGTAATGTGAAAGGAGGCAAAGAGACCTGTGAAATCTGGTTTTGACTTAATAGCCAGATATTTTCTTTCTTTGTAGCATTAAATGGAAAGGGAATAAAAAAAAATAAGATTTTGTAGTTTAATACTTTTGGTGAAAACTTGGTAATTAGTTCTTAGCTATTTCAAATATAACTAGTAACCAGTTGACTAAGCAATAACAGGAACTTCCTTGTGGAAGGGAGAAATATCTTTCTCGATGGAAAACAATGAATGTACTTTACACAGCCTGTATCCAATTATTAGCAAATCCAACGTTTTGAATTTTGGTTACAAAAAAATTATGCCCAAAAGACATTCTGCCAAAATACAACTGAACTTTAGATCTCTCAGGAGTCAATATGAGTTGTGAATTAAATTCTAATTAAATGCTCAAGAGTTAGAAAGAAAATAATAATTAAGAGATAGGCATCGGCACATGGGCCAAATATCTAGTCCCATGAATAAAACAGTAAGATAATTTTTACAGGTATAGATCCTCTTTCACAAATCACCATATTAAATCAGAGATGCAAATACTTGTTTGCAGCTGACCAGAAAATATGAACTCTTGAATGTAACACAAGATCTGCCAGGACCAAGAACATATATTAGAAATTACCTTTCTAACTCAGAGAAAGATCCCTTACACATGTCTTAACTTAGCTGAATTATGTATCGTGGACTTGCAAATCCTTCATTAGAATCACAGCATTTACCAAGAACATGCAAATACCACTAACGTGGAATGACTGTTTCATATGTAAGTCCTCACTGATTAACTTAAAGTACCCACATCAGCCACTGTGGGCACGGATTTGACATACATACTTGTATCTTAAAATTGTTATTGTATACACCACGTGAAAAACCCTGTTGTGATCATTCCAGGGGCCTCACGTGACCTACACCTCTTACTTATTACATGAACTCATAACTCTCTCCAAGAGATAAATCAAATGTCAGGGGTCACTAAATATCAGTCGGCCTCCTTCTCGTCATTTTTACTTTCAAGTTACGGCTCATAAGCTAAAATGCTCACAATTCTATATAATTACTTTCTTGGGCATAAAAGCCCAAGAGGGGGTTATATATGCTTAATCAGAAAAAGCACCCCCACCTTGCCCTTAGAAAACAAGTCAGCCAGAAAACCCCAAGAGAAGGGGCCAAAAAGGTGCTTGTATTCCAACTCCAGTTAGAATAATTTCTAATATTAATAGATATTAAGCATTACCCGTTTAAGTCTCAAAAATGCTACTGATGAATAACTTAGACTGGTTCTGCTTACTTTTATACTTTACATGCATTAAACTACTATACTCATATGCAAAAAAAAAATGATGCTAAGGAAGAAACTAATCTTTGTTTTATAATGAAAAAACTGAGGCTAGGAGAAGTCAAATCACCTGCCACAGTTCACAGCTGATAGGTGGGGAACTAGGTTTGGAACCAGGCCTACATCAGAGACAGCCAACCAAAGGCCCCTGGGCCAATCTGGAACCCAGATTCGCTTAGCCCACTCTGTGTTTCTGACAATGTTTAAATAAATTCTACTATTAAAAAATGTTCATACAAAAAAAAGCAAATCTCCCACCCTTCTTGGAAATCACTTCTGGCTATATTCACGGGGATTCCTCAAAGCCACAAGCAGCTGGAATGAGGAGCCAGTGCTGCTCTGTAAACAGACATGCCTATCCAGGCGGCCAGAGTCCCACCATGCCCCGCATCCTGCACTTGAGTAGCTTTGCTAATGTGTCCCCTGCTGGGTCCTACAAACAGCTGCATTTGTTCTTAAGGACATGACTATGTTCTGAGGAAATCAGGGGAGGTTTCCACACACGACTTCTCTAAACCCCCGAGAGGACACTTGACCTGTCCCAAATTCTTGAGTGGCTTAATTGAGACTGAGCCACTTTAGCTCTGTTGACAAATCTAAGCAGGTTCAGAAAATTCCTTAACCCCAGGACCCGCAGCATCCTTGATTAAGCACGACTGTGTAAGCTTTAGATCCCTCAAAGGGCTTCATTCTTTGGAGGTCAAGCCAGTTACTTACTGTCATATCTGAAGGTGATATTGTGCAGCCCGCTGTTTCTGCTAGCCGGCCCCACTCCCTGTGGGAAAACAAGAAAACATGATGAGGAGTGAAGCCAATTTGCTTTTCCAGCACAGATCCCCATAGAGTCAAACGCACACACGATTGCAGAAACCCAGGGTCATGCCAGTCACTGAGCAACACTTCACTCTTTCCATCCAGGCCTGCCCCTGTGGCTGCCAAACTCCCCTCAGCCCAGGAGAATCCTAACTGCCAGGCCGCAGGGATCATGAGCACTCACTTCCCCTAAGACAATAGGAGCAGGCTGTTCTGTATTTGGGGCTTAAATAATGATTCATTAACAGTAAAATTGGGAAAGAGATGAGTTGCCAGCTGGAGCCCTACCAGTTGGATCCACTTTGAACACTGATTGGTTATAAAATTTGTCTACCAGGCACTCTCGTCCAAAAGCTCTATTAAGTCACGACAGATAGGCAATTCTTCAAGTCTAAGGAAACAGGTTTCTCATTCCAAGACCAGGAATGAGTGTGGGAACAAGCTGTTACTTTTAATGAGAAAATTCTTCACTGCATCCATACCTTTGCTTGGAATATTTAGGGTGGGTCATAAAAGAAAAAGAAAAAAGACTTTAAAAGGTCTAACTCTAACTCTTGGTGATGTGGCTGTTAGCCATCTGCACTCTTAAACAGCAGGGATAACAACTCCACCAGACTTCCCACTTTAATTACAGCATCCGCAGAGGGAGCCCCGGAATCCTCCTTTGGCCCCGCCTTTTACTAACCCACCACTTACCCATCATGGGAAAGAGTAGCTACAGATCTACTGACTCTGACCTAACTATTTCTCTAGCAATCTGAAAATGTGCTATTCAGCATTAATTTCAGAATTCTCCAAAATATGTTAATTCTGAAATGCTAAATGATGGGAAAATATGCTAGCCACACAGCTGAAGTTTCCACTCAACAAGGGGGATGTTGGAGAAAACCATATGCTGGCAGCCTGGTATTTAATGGGCAATTGTTACACTGATACAAAAAGTGCAGAACACTTCTGATGGAGCCCAGGGTTTCAGACCACAACCCCAGCACATCCATATGCCACAGGCATGCTCACGCTGCTTACCCTGAAGCCAGGCACGCCTGCCGTAACTGTATCCCTGAGCTTGGATAAACGTGGACCTTGGGAAAGCACAGCTGTGCACAAAGGGACAGACAGGGACGGACACACACACACACACACACACACACACACACACACCCATTCTAATTAAAGTGAGAAGTGAGCAGTAGCAAACTCTAAATCAACATGGGGTTCCAGCCCAAGATCTCCTGGACTGGTCACCCTTCTTTTCTAGCTTTTCTCCTTCCTTCCTTCCTCCCTGCCCCCACATTACAAGATTCCAGAATTTCTCACCTGACCTGAAACACTTTGGAAAGTGTTGTTACCTTATTAAAAGCCTAAACTCTGCTGTAACCGCTTACAGATGAGGCCATTCTGTGCAACTAGAGGACACCCAACTTCCAGATGGCCAAGACCACAGCAATGCGACCAAGCAGGAGACCAGGAGACAATGCAGGCCCCACAACCCTTCAGTAATGCCAAACACCCTAACCACACCCTTCTCCTCCCTCACAAAGCCCCAGGACAAAAACTCACTCACCATCCAGTAGGACATTATGCTAGGTACAGTGGTGAGCAAAACAGCCACTGTCCCTGGCCTCAGGATACGTGGATCACACAAAGGGCACACAGACAAATCTCAAGTCACACCCAGCCCTCCAAGAAGTCTCAGTGCAGATAGCTTACAAGATATATGTAGAGGGGGGAAGAGCCAGTCATAAATAAGTTTATCGGACATGAAATGCCACAGACAGCGCCTCAGTAAGGATGAACCAAGTTATAAGGATGACCCACACCAGATGCTTAAAAAGGGGAAGGATAACGGAGTTAGAATGGAGAGGCAAAGGGAACATTATGAGAGGGAAACAAAAGTGCAATCCAGAGGGCAAGTAAGTATCTCAATCTTTCCATCCAGCTGGATACCAATGGCAAACCACTTCACTCCAGAAGGTCCAGGTCTCTTCCATTGTGTTTCTTAAGAGATAATTTGCATGACTTTCCCCTGGGAAGGATGAAGGAGCACCTTGTGAAGCCATGCAAGAAGCACTTCTCAAAAGGGAGATGTATTCCATTAATGCTCCACAGCATGCTCCGTGGTACATAGGACTCTGGTGACCAATCGCCTTAGTTGTAGGACTTTGTCAGCTTTTCCTTTTTTTTCCTATCCTCCCTGTACTTCTATTGCAACATGCTTTTAACAGATAATTATTAGGCACTTGCAATGAGCAATGCATTGTGGAAAGGAGCCCAAGATAGTGAGATGTTCTATATCACTCATATATACAAGAATCTAAATCCCTCCAAATAAGGTCTCTGTGATGTTTGGAGCTGTTCCAAATGAATTGGCCTCCAGGGACGGTGAGCCCTGCATGCAGCATCCTTCACTACCCACTGAGCGTTCTGCCTTGCCCCTGAAGGGCTGGGCGCTTAGCCCTGAACCAGACCTGGATCCTGACCTTGAGAGGCTGGCTACCAAGGTGATCTAATGTGCAAATATTCCCTCATTCCTTTGCTCCAAGCCCACCACAGGCTTTCTGTCCCTCCTAAACCATTCCTGATGTGACACTCCTTTCTACCCTTTTCCAAGCCCCTCTGGGCACTGCACTACAGCACAGCACATTCTTGAGCACTTCCATATTCAGGGGTTGCCCATCATATCACCCTAATCCTGCTCCCCCGTGGGCTTCCCACCCTAGTCTAGCCCCTATCGCACTGTGTTGCTGATACATCAGTCTGCCCATATACTCCTTCGATGCAAGCATGGTAATTTCACTGGCATGACACACCTACCGATACAGATCTAAAATGGTAATTCCAATTCCACAGAAAATCGGCTACCAAAAGACCCTGTGGTTGTCCAAGCCTGGTCATGGAGCTTGGAAGCAAGAGATGCCATCACAGGTACCAGATCTTACATGCACTGTGAAGACCTTTCATTCTTGGAAGTCACAGAGGGCATGGCTTCTCAGTACATGCATCAGCCAGATGGTCCACCGGGCTGTCCTCAGCTCACACCCGAGTAATGCTTCCACTGCTCCAGAGCCCCCAGTAGCCTGAGAAACATATGGGCTAGCCCAGGGTAGCCCACACAGCACTGCTCTTCCCTTTACACATTGCGCTAGACAGAATAACAGGATCCCACGACACGTCCACATGCCCACATCGCAATCCCCAGAACCCATAAATGGTTTGTTTACAAAGCAAAAAAAACAAAAAAACCAAAAAAAAAAAAACTATGCATATGTTATTACTAAGCATCCTGAGATGAGAGTATTCTGGATTATCCAGGTCAGCTCAAGGTAATCACAAAGGTCCTTCTAAAAGGGAGACAGCAGGATCAGAGTCTGAAGAAGGAAATATGATAATGGAAGCAGGTATAATGGAAGCAGAAGGCAGAGAGAGGGAGAAACAGAGAGACACTGATTTAAAGATGCTATGCTACTGGTTTTGAAGGTGGAGGAAGAAGGGGCTAATTAGCCAACAAATGTAGGCAGCCCCTAAAGGCTGGGAAAGGCAAAAAACAAAAAAACAAAAAACAACAACAAAAAAATGGGATTCTCCCCTCCAGTCTCTAGAAAGAGACAGCCCTGCCAATACCTTGATTTCAGCCCTGTAACACTAATTTTGGAATTCTGACTTCAAAAACTTTTAAGATAATAGCTCTGACCAGTGTGGCTCAGTTGGTGGGCATCATTCCACAAAATCAAAGGTTGCCAGTTTGATTTGTTGTTGGGAAGCATGACTGGGTTGTAAGTTCAGTCCCAGCTGCGGTGCATACAAGAGGCAACTGATTAATGTTTCTCTCTCATATCGATGTTTCTCTCCTTCTCTTTTTTCCTCACTTCCCCTCTCTCTAAAAATAAATAAAATCTTTTTTAAAACTTTAAGATAATAGAGGTGTGCTGTTTAAGCCACTAAATTTGTGGTAATTTATTACGGCAGCAATTGAAAGCTAATACACACATAAAACTAGCTGCAATACAGATGAAATGGATCTTGATGTCATACACACCATGAGCTGTCATTGTTCCCCTCCCACACACACCCACAGCAAACTGATCACTTGCCGCTACACTCTCTCCCACCCTGGCTGCAGGCAGACGTGGAACACTCAAATCTCTGAGCTGCTGCTTGAGATTTTGCCATCCCAGATACAGGCTTCTGTGGGCCAGCCTACGGCTTGTCTGGGATAGAAGAGCGGTTAACACAACGGGCTTTGGGAGTTGCACAAAAAGTCTGTGCAATACTGCAGCTGCATGACCTTGGGCAACCTTCTGAACCATCCTGAGCCTCATTTCCCTGAGCTATATATAAAGTGTTTGAATAAAACTTCCTGGACAGGGTTAGTGTGGGAGCTATGTGAGATGACATATATACAGTCTCTGCACAGCATCTGACACAATATTGAAATGGTTATTCCACCATTCCTGTCTGAGAAGATTCCTGCCCTAATAAACAACATGAAAGTATCCCCTATGAGAAGATATATGAGGTGGACAGGGAACACTCACAGAAAGTGGCATCTTCAGGTATGGTCTGTCTCCAGCATACAGGCCTTGTAGGAGAAGAGGCAGGTGGACAGGTGGCAGGAGGCACTAACCACCCAACTGAGGAATATGTTCTGCTAATGGTCTTGGTGGGAACAGGGCAACTCAGTGACTACATTGCTAATAAGTACTCAGACTGGACAAGACAGGAAGAATGAAGGCAAAAAGCAAAGTGACAGAGCAGCTCCCTACACCTCCATCAATGCTTGCCCCACAGTCCTAGGCCTGGCACATAATCAGCCCTTAATAAATATTAGTTTGTCTGTTTGAATTAACGAGTGCATAATCGAGCCAGGTAACACATACAGAGAGCCCAGGAGGACCTAGCTCAGTATGTCAGGGTGATTTATGGCTTAGAATCAAGGCTCACACTGAGAACAGACATAAGGCA